ACATACATACATACATACATACATACATACATACATACATACATACATACATACATACATACATACATACTCACTCTGCTTCTCTGGGACCAGGTCATGGGGCCTCAGCAGAGAAACCCACACCTCCCTCTCCTCATCCATAAAAAGGACTCAAATGTTAATCAGGTTTTGATGTTTCCATCTCCAGAGGTTCCTATCAAGAGCCCAGGAGGAGACGTGCACGCTTCTCCAAACTGACGGTGGTGAAAAAGGACCAAACCACTTCCACCCACATGGAGGAAGGTTTGCTGTTCCGATCTGGGGACAGCCTGGCCTCCTGCAGCGTCTCCTGCGAACCATCCACACCCCGACACAAAGCCAACTACAACATCTATGTGGAGGACCCGGGGAGTCTTAATGCGGCACCTCCTTACGAAAACATTACTGCAGATCGGATGAAGGGGTCGCAGCCCCCGCCTCACTACATCAACAGCGAGGAGGCGGCTCGGATACGGGAGAAAGCCGAGGAGAGTCGGGCCAACATGAACTCTGAGAACTTCTTTCAGGATAAGCTGGTGCACATCTACAACCAACCGGTGGCAATCATTCAAGCTCCGGAGTTGTTTGGTGCACAGGAGACACAGCTCCCAGGATGCAAGTCCAACACTTTCCCCAGAAATGGGGTGGAGTACGACGCTCATTCAGAACCTGCCAGTAAGGACAACTACACCCAGACACTCCCCAAAGTCCCTCACCACCATGCCCAGGGTGGAAGCAGCCCTCAGCAAAGCAATCAGGATGACCCACAGCCACTGGAGACCCCACCTCCAGGACCAGGTCCAAACGCTGGTGTGTGGGGACGCTACAGTAACCTCCTTGAATCCTCCGTCTCTGTGCCTGGGACTCTCAACGAGGCAGCTGGTATGCAGGTCTTTGGCAGTGGGCACACCAGTGAGCTGCAAGGAATGTCTGAACGCACCTTGCTGGAGCTGACCCGGGGCAAATCCTTGTCCTCTCACCCCAGAGCTTGGTTTGTCTCTCTCGATGGGAAGCCAGCCGCTCAGGTCCGTCATTCCATCATCGAGCTGCAGGGCCGCCACCGTCCGCCCAGCAGCAATGACACCAGCCTGGACTCCGGCGTAGACATGAACGAGCCCCAGCAGCACATCCGAGAGTCGGAGCGCGACAGGCCCTCGATCAGGGCCTCCTCCCTTCCACACCACAGCCGAGGGGGCAGGTACGGCGAGGAGCAGGACCTGAGCAGCAGCGAGAGCGGTACCACTGCCACCTGCACGCCGGAGGACCCTTCCCTCAGGAACATTTTAGACGGGAGCAGTGGGGCCATTCCCAACATTCCTGAAGAGCAGGATGGGATGGATACATCCAGCGCTCAGGAGGACAGTGAGTCGAGGGGAACGCCCCCTCCTCGGCGACTCAGGAAGGTGAGGGAGAAAGGGAAGGCAGAAAAGAGGAAGCACGTTCGGGAGGGCAGACCTCTGACAAAGCGAAGTTAAAGCCTGTAGATGGTTTGGTTTGTGTTCACAAAGGCATTGTTGTTGTTCTGTGATTGTACAACTCTGCCAAAGAAACCATAAGCTAACCGAAGACAACAGCATCGTTTGTGTGTCATATTAAAGTGTAAAGGTGGTATCTCACTCGGCTGCACCTGTTGACAACTAGTTGGTGAACAGCATTCCTAGAGTTTAAAGCATTTTTAATTTCCTTATAATTTGCAGAGGCTTGAAATTTTGTTGCTTTTGTGCAACAAATTTGCCTTTAAAATGTTCATACACTTGTAGCGTGAAGTATCACCCTTCTGTCCTGTACCACGTACTTGCTACATACTTGTTGCAGGCTTCATGAACTCTTCTTTCTCCAACCCATCTCAAGAACGCTACACCTGTATTTTGAACTGTATTAACCATATTATTGATATCTGAATGAAAACATTTCTAGTGTCTTTAGAAGTCATACCTCTTTAAATGTGGTAACCGATATCCTTAGACCTCTAGCTTCTTATTGTTAACCCATCGTCAGGCACATTTTTAGACAATTCTTTTTAAATATGAGAAGCAAGTGTCCACAGTTTTTATTAGTTTCTCAAATTGGCCAAACAAAATCTTACATTCCAACAAAAGACCTTGGAATTCTTGTCTATGCCTTCATCATCTGCAGTTAGTCCAAAATGCTGCTGCAGGGTCGAAGGCTCAAGCTTTAGCAGATTTACACTGGTTGCCTGTTCAGATGCTCATAGTGCACAAAGGGGATCTGGCTTTTGCAGTGATAGCCACTTAAACTAGATGAACCTGCCTCTTGATATTCATACTGCAGATGTCTTTTTATGCTGTGGTATTTCTTTGTTTTAGTCTTTTTTAACTGTTGGTTTTTATGTGTAATTTTATAGTGTTGATTTTATCTGGTCAGCTGTTTTTTAAACATGCAACAGAAATAAAATAGATTTTGACACCTGCACAGGAGCTCCCCTCTGACACTCAGCACTACAGCCTCAAATGTCCAGTCTTTAAACCACACCGATAACCAGTCGTTATTGAAGTGCACTGCGATAGATTAAATCACAAACATGGGAGAAATATAATGCTTGGTTCAAATCAGGTACAATCGTACAATCATCAAAGCAATGTGCAGTGCCTAAAATACAGCTTTGCAATCTGTGCACACAACAATGGACCTCCATGTTCACAACTTGCTGGTCACTTCGTCACAAGCATTGAGAATTAACTGAGACCTGCAACAGAAAATTAAAGAGCTGTCTGGTGGTTTTGAGTCTGTCAGAGTCAGGAGACTAGTTTGTGATTTTAAAGTTGCAAAACAATAAATATGAAGCGAGCCAAATTATAGTCTTAATGAATCTTCAGTGAGTCTTGTGACTGGGATCTGGGCAGCTAATTTTTGGAAAATCAGGGTTTATAAAAACCTGCAACCACTTCATACCAGCTCCAGTCTGCTTTTTTACACCTCAGCAGCAGCTCCACATGTGATGCAATCAAACAAAAATACCCTATTTGAAATGAAGATATACAATTTTAACCAATAATTTTTGTTTACCATTGGTGTGTTTTTTGCTTTTTTTTTACCTGGTCAAAAAATCCCAGTTTTACTGCATTTAAAACAGGTTGGAGACGCCCACAGAAAATTTTAAATTTTAGGCGACTCCTCCACCAACAGTTGCAGCCCAGTGAGATACCACCTTAATGCAGCTGCTGTTACACAAATTTGTGCACCTTCTCCCCTCATTCGCTCAAATCTGAAGATCACCAGCGAGATTCTTCACAGCAAATGTCCACGTGAACACAACATCTCACTGCTCCCTGTTGGCATTAAAGGAGGTGCCTTCTTACTGCCTGTAACCGTAAAACAACTCCAGATTTTGTCTGCTTCAGTGGAAAACCTGCAGGATGGGCACGAGTGCACCTGTCCTCACCATAAATGCCTGCTGTAAATTAACGGAGAAGCTTTCCTAATTCTCAGTATTCACATCCTGTTTGGATACCATACTGCCTCGAACCTTTTTGAGCTTTTCGTGTGACTGACTCAGACGCTACGCTAGAGGGATTTTAAAGTCAAACGATGTACAAAACTGACATTTTTCACACCTGATATTCAAGATTTTAGGCATATAGTTGTTTTTTTTCATGCATGAAAATGAATGTTTTGACTGAAAAAGACATAGATTTTAGGTTAAGTATCTGAATGTTTTGTTTTACTGTCTTGTTTTAAAGAGGAGACTCAGTGTTGTGCTGCCATCTGTAACTACTCCAACTCTGGGTTTTCTACACTACACAATGTAGTTAAAGAGTTCATATATGTTCACCTGATCTGCTAGATTAGCCTTTTATGCTTTAATGTTTAAAAAAAAAACACACTTTCATCTTAAATTGTACATGGATGCAGCCATTGTCACCACAAGCTCCATTTTAGCTCCTGTCTCTTTAAGATGCCTCCTTTTAAAGGGATATTTAAATTCTTCCTCTCAAGCTCTACTGAACTTTAAACTTAAACTTAAACTTTCTAGTATTTAAAAAAATAAATATCTACCTAACAAAATACGTTCATTTGAAGTGTCTGTGACATCCTTCAAATACAAAAAGTCAAAGAAAACATCTTCATATTTAAAGGGATCCCCAATTAGTTGTAATATTAGACTTTATTTGATAAACATATATTTTAACTGTAAAATAAAGACTGTAAAAATACTGTAGGATGTTCAGTTTGGTAAATTTAAAAAATATATATTTTAACACGGACGGAGCCATTTTATTTACATGCAAAGCATTCTGGGTAAATGATGACATCAACTAGGTCATCAGTGTGAGGCTGCTAGCGAGCTATATCCACCCTGAAGTTTAATGTTGGACAATATCTGACGATTGACTCTTGTAAATGAAACCAGAGAGTGTTGACAGAGAGGAGAAGGTAGAAATGACTCAGCCTGTAACTGAAAATATAGATGGACAACAGAGCTGCTTCATGGAAGAAGAACCTCAGATTAGCCTGTTAGCCTTTGTGCTAGCACTGACGCTATATTGCCTTATATGTATTAGCTCGGTGCTAGCGTGACAAACAAGCTAAACTGAGGTCCTCCATCCATATTTTCAGTTMCAGGCTGAGTCATTTCTACCTTCTCCTCTCTGTCAACGCTCTCTGGTTTCATTTAAAAGAGYCGATCATCAGATATTGTCCAAGATTAACCTTTAAGGTGGATATAGAGCGCTAGCAGCCTCGCACCGATGACCTACCCACATCATCATTTACCCAGAATGCTTTGCATGTGAATAAAATGGCCACGTCCGTGTAATATATTTTTACACTTTTAGTTTAAAAATTATAAATACTAAACATCCTACAGTATTTTTACAGTCTTGATTTTACAGTTAAAATATGTTTATTAAATAAAGTCTAATGTTACAACTAATCGGGGATCCCTTTAAGAAACTTGGCATTGTACAGGTTGCCAGTTGGCAGTTTGGCAATTGGCATATTGTCTCTTGAACTTCTCAGCCAGAGTGAAACAGGAAGTGACATCAAAGGAGAGCTTGTTAAGAAGGGGAACTCCCAGGTCATTGTTCATTGAAACATTATTTGAACTCTAAATCTTCTTTATCTTTCTAGTAGCTGCTTTTCGCAATTGCGGTGTTTCCATAAAGTAAGAAATGCTATCAAAATTACGCTTGAATACATTTGTTCTCGTGATAAGTCATTACAACATGGCGGCAATGGATGTAAACACTTATGAAGATATATTCATATTGCTACCATGGCACTAGCGCTCATCATCAGCCATCAGAGGAGACATTGGCATCTTATTGAGGCTTTCAAGCGACAAGCCCCATATACTTTGGAGCGTCTACGTATGCAGCGTTTTTGGGAAATTGTAGTTGGTGATTTTACTACTTCTACTTCCTGTTATCTTCGTTGTCTTTTTCGCCAGTAGAAACACCTGGTTGATGATCACGTGATTCCCGTGATGCAAAAAAGTGTTTCCATTGCAGTTTTGCGAAATACACCAGTTTCAGTATGGCCGAAAAACCACCTCATCCTAGTGCAAAAACGTTTTGTTGAAAAACGTAAGTTTTTTTTTCATTGACTTGTTTCCATTGAACAAATTTATTTCAAACATTGTTTATATAAAGATCAAATTTCAATTTGCGCATTGTCATGGTCAGTGGAAACACAGCTAGTGACTCAAAATAATCTAAAAAACATCAAATTCTTCTGTTAGTTATTGTAGCAGTGCTCTGTTTCCACACTGCCATTACTCTGTTATCACTTCCTGTTACTGCACGTGCGAACATCTCAACAACTATTCATCTCAGCAGCATAATTTTTTTTGCAATTTGGAATAAAATAGAATAGAATAGAATAGAATAGAATAGCCTTTATAGTCCCGCAGCCCGGAAATTCAGGTGTCACAGCAGCATCAGTACAAAGGTTCACATACTAGTTACTTTACAAACTATAGATAGTACACACAAAACAATTTGTTATTAATGTCATCTTTCCAAAATTGCATTAATATTTCTAACAAAAATTGGATGTCACAGGCACTTTGAGCTGCACAAGGAGGTGAATCCTGCAAATATACAGTATACCTGCTTTGTCAACAAAAGTAACATATATTTAGCTCATGGCACATCTTCACAAGCAGCTGGAAGAGTTACAACTGTTTACATATTCAGTCAATAAGGTATTTTAGTAAATTAATAATCCTGAGCCATATAAAGCACACTATATTCTCTACATTCCCAGATGTTTCCAGGAGGTAAATGCAATAAATGTGAAAACAATTAAAAACAATGACAACTGATAAAGTTATTCTCACCGTGAGCTCAGCAATATTTTGTGTCATATTTAGTCTTTTGTCAAAGGTTTGCTAGAATGTTATTTCACTGATGGTTAAACTCGAGCCTTGATTCTGTAAATGTGTGTGTTTTTTAATGAATACTAACATCTGTATTATATGTTTCACAATTTCATCTTGTTTAGCCTCCATTTAAAAGCTGAACCATTTGTTTTTCTCATGTGATAATGGGTTTTAAGGTTAGCTTGAGGGGAGTCTTTTCAGAGGATTGTTAAAAAAGCTTTTTAGTTTTAAATGTAGCAACAAACTGAGCACTTTCATCATTCCTTGTGCTTATGTCTAAAAATATTTTCCTGCCAGTTTTCAGCTTTCAGACACGTTTTCATGCTTCAGCAGTGAGATGAGAAGTAGTTTGTGAAAACTTTGTGCAGATTATTGCTGTTCCTGCCACGCTGGTTTCCAGCTGATCCTGCTGAATGTATCTGATCATCAGTGTGAGCATCTTGTCTTCTTCCAGAAAGGACACCTCCTGTGTTGACCTCTGTAGTTAGTAACAGTTGTTCTTAGACTTGTGTTTGCTGTGCGCTCAATTAATAAACTTACTTGTTATCACAGTTTTTCTTTGTTGAAAGTTGTTTTGCATTAAGCAGCAGTAAAATGAGGCTAATTTCAAAAGAACAAGCAGAAAAGCTTGCCTAACTTTGTGTAAACAACACTTTTGTTTTAATGCTGTGTGTTTACTGAATGTCCAGTCGTTTCTCACCTCTGAACCAATTTTGTTTGAATCAGTTACGAGTTCCCATTTTTTTAGCTGCAGTCCAGCTGAGGTCACAGTGTTTTCTTGTTCGTATGGAGCAATGAAAAGATTTATCCTTGCCTGCTCCCTGACTCGTGTCACAGCGGTGTGTGTGTGTGTGTGTGTGTGTGTGTGTGTGTGTGTGTGTGTGTGTGTGTGTGTG